CAATGTGTAGACTTAGGGTCAGGGGTTCATGTGTGGTAGGATCACTCCTGATTATCGCTGAATATTACTGATTAGTTGACATACATTTTTGTTCCCCTACCCTGCTTATGAGTATTAAGTAATCAAACTAAACAATTGCTAAGTGTATAGTTATGATTAGCATTGTTGCCTCTTTCAAAATCATGAATGCAATAGCATCTACGAGGGTTGTCCAAAAAGTTCGTGGACAATGACGTTTTTGTTAAAATAAAGGGTTCTATCTGCATCTATTGTATATCAAAATATTTCTCATAAAAAATAAGTCAGAATGATTTATTTTTTATTGATGAAACTTAATGTTTTTGTAAAAATCGAGGTCTTTAAAGATCGCGGATTGCGCGCACGGACCAGTCTGACGTTACGCTTATTTCATTATAACGTCAAACATTTAGATTTTGACTTAACACATGTTCATGGACACACACAAGATTTCTTTTTAAGGCGCAACGCACTTCGAAGTCTTTAAGTATAGATTATAATTTACTTAATTTTTAAAATTCAAAACAATACACAAATTTACGAGCGTCATCTAAATTAACAGTATGTATACCCAAACTGAACAGCCCAGTCCGACGCAGCGCTAGATTTATAATAACGTCAAGAATAGAAATCTCCATTTACAGTTAATTACATGCTTTATAAATTCTTGAAGTGTCTTTGAATTTATACACACTATCCTAACCATCTATCCTTCTGTGTTCAATAAACCAGAAGTGAAAAAAGAATTAGATAGATTACACAATCAGTACGTACTGGTTCCTGCCGACAAAGCAGGTAACAACATTGTCTTCGTTTGTAAGGCTCATATATCAATTGCATTCTAGAAGAACTTGGATTTAATTCTACAAGTGGTAATCCTACTTATACATATACTTCTCTTTCTAAGGAAGAAATTCTTCAGAATCAACTGTCAGTTTTGAATACTTTTAATATTCCACAGAGCCAAAATGAATTTGAAATACCTTATATATATTGGATTCCGAAACTTCATAAGAGTCCTTACAAACAAAGATACATTGCAGGTTCCATTAAATGTTTAACCAAGCCTCTTTCGTTACTTCTCACTAAAATATTGACAGTAGTGAAGGAAAAACTTCAAGAGTACTGCACAACTATATATTCAAGAAGTGGTGTAAATCAGATGTGGATACTTAAAAATTCTAAAGAACTTTTGGACTTTTTGAAGTCACAAGACTTTACAAAAATCAACAGCATAAAAACTTACGACTTTTCAACTTTATACACAACAATTCCCCACGACAAATTAATATCCAGGCTTTTTGACATCATTGACAGCTGCTTCTTCAACAAAAATGGAACTCGTAAGTTTACTTACCTCGTCATTGGTCATTTGAAAAATTATTTTGTTAAAACAGATTCTGATTGCACACATAAGTACTCTGAAGTTGACATCAAGAAGATGCTTGAGTTTTTGATTGACAATATCTATGTGGTTTTTGGAGACCAGGTATTCCAACAATCTATTGGAATTCCCATGGGTACAAATTGCGCTCCGTTATTAGCAGACTTATTTTTATATTCATATGAGGCAGAATTTATGCAAAATCTTTTACGTGAAAAGAAGAAAACACTTGCTGTGGCCTTCAACTCGATATTTAGATATATCGACGACGTATTGTCAATTAATAATGATAATTTCCATTCCTACGTCGACACGATATATCCTGGTGAGCTTGAGATAAAAGATACCACAGAGTCAGACACTTCTGCTTCATACTTGGATATTTTACTTGAAAAAGACACAAATGGTAATCTAACAACCAAGCTATATGATAAACGTGATGACTTTAACTTTTCTATCGTCAACTTCCCTTACTTATGCAGCAATATACCTTCATCACCTGCATACGGAGTATTTATATCTCAGTTGATTCGATACGCAAGAGCATGCTCTACGTATGAACAATTTCTTAAACGAGGTAAATTATTGACAAGCAAGTTGATGAAACAAGAATATGTACAGTCTCGTTTAAAGTCATCATTTCGTAAATTCTATGGTCGATACAATGACCTTGTCAGCAAATACAATTTATCATTGAATGAAATGCTGACTGACGTTTTTCATACCAATTGTTAGTCCATTATTTATACACTGAATTGACCACGGATTTTTTCCGTTATATCCTGATAATGACAACGAGCACACAGCGGGTGTGACCGGTCGGCAGGGGATGCTCACTCCTTCATGGCACCTGATCCCACCTCTGATGTTTCGGAGGTCCGTGTTTGCTCTGCTCTTATTTTGTATATTTGTTTAATGGACGTTGAGATTGAATACTGTTCGTTATTTCCATATCCTACTGTTGAAAAATCGTATACTCTAATCCCAAATCGATACATTCAATATATATTTCAATAATTTTGAGTTGTTTTAACAAACATTTTGTATCTTACATCGTTTCAACCGTTATAAAATTTAATTTTTTGACCGGACGCTGCCCCGTGCCAATAGACGACGTCACTTTTTTTGTTGAGTTTTGACACATACTTGCTAATGTTTTCTTTGTGTATTTTCGTTGTCTCTATGGTTAATGATATTTAAGATATCATTAAATGATAATAACATCTTTTTTGTGTTACATAAAATTTTTACTTATTTTTGACTTCTTTTTTATGTAGAAAATAATCATTTTTATCCGAACTTTTTATATCAGAGTTTGCATCATTTTAACCTTGGTCCGTGCGCACTATCCGCGACCTCTAAAGACCACGATTTTTACAAAAATATTCCATAAATAAAAACTAAATCATTCTGACTTGTTAGCTCACTTGAACCGAAGGCTCAAGTGAGCTTTTCTGATCACATTTTGTCCGTCGTCCGTCCGTCTGTAACTTTTCACATTTTCGACTTCTTCTCAAGAACCAATGGGCCAATTTTAATCAAACTTGGTACAAAGCATTCTTGGGTGAAGGGGAGTTTAATTGTAAAAATGAAGGGCCAAGTCCCCTTACAAGGGGAGATAATCAAGGTAAGACAAAAATGGAGTGGGGTCACTAAAAAATCTTCTTCTCAAGAACCACTGGGCCAGGAAAGCTGAAACTTACGTGGGAGCATCCTTAAGTGGTGTAGATAATAAATTGTTAGAATCATGACCCCCGGGGCTAGGGCGGGGCAACAATAGGGAATCCAAGTTTTACATAGGAATATATAGAACAAATCTTTAAAAATCTTTTTCTGAAGAACCACTGGGCCAGGAAAGCTGAAACGTATGTGGAAGCATCTTTGGGTAGTGTAGATATTAAATTGATAAAATCATGACCCCCGGGGGTAGGACGGGGCCATAATAGGGAATCCAAGTTTTACATAGGAATATATAGACTGAACAAATCTATAAAAAAAAATTCTTCTCAAGAACCACTGCGCCAGGAAAGCTCAAACTTATGACCCGTACGAAATTCAGAGGCGTATTACGCCTTGATGTTTTGCAAATCCTGGCGTACAAGAGACGTATTCTTAAAAATACGGTTCATTTTCAGGCGTACACGTATTTAAGTCAGAAATACGTTTCCTTTTTTCCAGGCGTAAAATCTAAATACGGGCGTACGTTTTACTGAGTCTCTTTGGCACAAGGAAATTAAAACTTAGAAAATTATTTTTGAAAATTCTGGTTTATTTTCAACTTAGCCAAAAAACTTAGTCAACTCATTCTCTTTTTTTAAAAGTATTGAGTCGCATAAGAAAAAATTTTATGATATTATATAACTTAAACAAAAAACCCAAAGTATTGCATGATTAAATACATTGCAATATTGTATTTAGTTTGTGGATAAAATATCAAAGCAATTAATTTTCATAAATTAAACTGATTTTTATAGAACTTTACTATGCCTTGGACCTGAACTTTTGTCATTCCCTTTTCTTTTTTTAAAATTGATATTTTTTTTTCTTAATAACACAAATGATTTTTTAACTATGATAACTGTAAAGTAAATAGTATATTCTTTGAACTTCATTTGTTTAGTCAGGCTATAAACATTAAACATACGTGTTATTACATCAATTAAATGTTTTTCTTATAGTGATTTATATTTAGTATATTCAGTAACTATTACATTACCATGTACTTTCACTTCCCTCAGCCTAACCTGCTGGGATTGTGCTAATAGCCGCGTTTCGAGTTATGCAGGAAAACCGTTTTTATTCTACTTTTATTCACGCCGATCACGTGATTTCACAAAAATGTTCCTCATGGTTACTTCCGGTTGTCATTGTTTACGTTGGAAACATACCGTTTGAAGCGAAAAAAGACGCTGGCTGGTACTCCTGTGCGGCTCCTGGCTGAACATCTGACGACTGAATACAGGGGAGATATGGGTACATGTCGTTAGGACAGTTTTTTTTCTTCCCCTCCAAAATAAAGGCACCGACAAAAAGAAAAAATGTCTTGACCTTAGAAGAAGGGGATTCGACTTCGAGCCTAAAAGAATGAAACGGGTCTGTTCCTTACACTTTGTGGACGGCAAACCCACTCCTGACCACCCATACCCAGAAGTATTTTAATATAACAACTTCAAATAAAGGAAAAAAGGTTTAAAATATAATTAATTTACCTCATAATGCCTATATTCCACAGATGCCAATTAAAAAAAATCAAACGTACACAAGCTTTGCAATTACTGTAAACCAACTTTTATTCGCGTGCGAGAAATTTTCGCGTGATTCGCGAGAGCCTCGTCATCGCGAATATTTCTCGCCGCGAAACCGTCTCTTTTTCTATTAAAAACCGTTCCAAAAAGGCTTGGTCGCGAAAATTAATCGTCGCGAACTACTTTACTCCCGGTAAATCGCGAAATAAAGTCGTCGCGAATAAAAGTTGGTTTACAGTAATATGTACAAAACTATTGCTATGAAAACACTGCTAAAATAAAGGTGAATTTCGTTTGTAGATTCGCCCTAATACCTCTATTCTAAAAAGAGAACAGGCTTTATTACATTTACACTATGAAGAACGATTCTGGTGTCTGCGGAGACGAGGATGGTTGCAGTGATTATGACTTGACACCAATAAATCATATAGTAAGTTGTTTTGAATTTCAATGTTCTGTATTTTAATTATTCTTACACTAAACATATCAATATATAATTATAAAAAATAATATAATATTCAGTACTGTCATGTATTGTAGACCATGTGTACTGGTGTAATGTTTTTGCTTCATTTCTTGTCTCAGGTTGATGTTGATGACATGAATCCCCAAGAATAAAAAGGCTGTTGTAAAAGACTGTGTGATTTCTGACATGGAAACATCTTCTCCCACCCATGGCCAGGTGCTTAAAAATGTTATTTTACATCTCATATTGATATTATGAATTCACATCATCAGTTAATTTCAGAATTACAAATGGCTATTATCAAACAGATGATTGTATTCACATTCTTAAAGTATCTTAGATACTGATGTTTGCTTTATATAGAAGATATTGCAAGAGATCATGATTATGGAGAGCATACTGGTATTCCACTCAGCAACACAGATGCATTAACTCTGACAGATTTCAGCATTACTGATATTAGACAATTGCAGCAAAAAGCAAAACAGTATAATGATCGAGATACACTCCTGAGAGATCAGCATATTGCTTACTTGAGGATTCATGTAGAGAGAGCTATTGGTAGATTGAAAACTTTTCGAATTTTGTCAAAAACTATGTCGCTAAATCTAAAACCTGAAGCAATTCAAATTCTTACTGTATGTGCATTTTTGTGCAAACTTCAAAAGCCGCTTGTAAAGAAATAATTATTATGAGGGAAAAATGCTTCAGATTTGTAAAATTTTTATTTTTAAAAGTCTCAAATAATTGTATTAAAACAACTAAACATACAATGTATATTATACAAAGGAGATGTATTTCATTTTTAATAAAAAAGATAAAATTATTGACTGAGAGCTAATTAAACATTCATCTTTTAAAATTAAATGTAGTTTATAAGAAATACTCTATGTACTATTAGTGCTATGTACATTGTATAATGATTTAATACTCTAACTATACATTGAAATAAAATTTATTGCCATTGCTCTTAAATGTCTAAGTTTCAGTGGGTATCTCAAAACAAGCATGCTTTATGTGTGGATATTACACAATGTTGACACAATGGATTGTGGTTGGGTATGATCAATCCTCAATCTATCTTGCTTATTTCACTTGGTACAGAGTTTTTCTTTGGCTTATCCCAGACACAAGCTATGTCTGTATGGGCCTCAGTGCTTCGGTCCCTGTGCCTTTCACAAAAAATTGGACAATGAGAAAATGAAGGCAACACAATGCTTACATGCTCCTTTATGTGCTGTAGTAAAAAAGAAGAAATTAGAAAATGTGTATATACATGTATAATTATGATTATGTTTTCAAAATTTATGATCCTAAAAACTTTCATGTACTCAAAAATCAAATTTTTTATTCAATAGCTTTAAAAACAAAATATGAAAATTTAGGATTTTGTCCTAACATATGAAGATAATAACCATTGATTGTCCTGCTTGTAATTTAATACACTTGAAGAACTCCACCGACACTTCTGCATGAGGTAAACTAAGACATCAAAAGATCCTACATCTGGTATCTGTGACAAATCCTTGTTCCTATAATAAAATATAAAAATAAACTCATTCAATCGTATAACTATTTCAACTTCCAATTCTATTTTCAATATAATTATGTAATTTATATAAATAAATGTTTTTAAATTAATTTATTTTTCTTTGTGCTGTCCATATGTTTCTCTAAATGTAAGATGAACTAAGTTGTGCTTATGAATTAATATGTGTTTTTTTTAATGATTTTACTAAACTGTGAATATTGGCCAGGGTAACTCAATCCATTTAATCAAATAATAATAAACTAATAAAAAGTTATTTTTTCGGCATTGAAAATTTAATAGGCAAGAAAATTATTTTAAAGTCTTAAACTTTTTTCTGATTTTAAGCAAATAGGTCAAAGTTATCTTGAATATTTAGAAAAGAACATCAAAAGTGGGGGTATATGATGTACATTTTCAGATATTACCAAAAAAAAGTGAATTTTACGTTAAAATTGGCTCATTTTTTTCCCGGATTTTCAGAATATATTTACAATATTTATCACACTTTGCTGATTAAATTCATAAGAAATAATTTAATAGATGTTTCAGAACCAGCATAACATATTTCACTGCAAAAAACAGCTTTAGGTGCAACCAGCATGGAGAAATAGGTTTCCAAAATTAACAGTACTGTTATAGCTCAAATGGAAAAAACTGACCATTTTCGTCTATAAAACCTTCCGCTACAAAATATAGTCCCTAGCTTAATTCTACTTGAATGTAATTTAATCGCGTTTTTTTCATTGAATATAGCATACTTTGCATTGAAGAATGCAGTTTTATTGTTAAAACCTAAAAATTATGCTAAATTTTATGAATAAAGGACCTGCGCAAAATACGCTCAAAATATCAGGATCGAACGTCCTTAAAACATGAACCAAATTTAATCATTTGAAAGTTGTTTCATGATGCTCAGGTGACCTATAAGGACCATGGGCCTCTTGTTTCTTATTTCATCTAATATTTGGGTATTTTTAATGTAAAATCTATACAATTTTCAAACATCTCAGATATATTGTAATATTGTAAAGTTTGCATAAAAATGTTCATATATATTTTGGATTCTAAAAACATGCAGCAACACTTGGAAGGCTTAAGGTAAGTCACTCGTCAGCTTTTTAGAAAAGTTCACGCAGAAGCTTTTACTTCAAAACTACTTATTAAAATTCAATTTTTATAACATATTTGAATTCAACAATGTAAATTTTTTAACATTCAATGAAAAAACTGCTCAAAAATCTACAAAGAAAGCAAGATCTATGAGGGACTATTTCTTTTGGTGGAAGGATATTTAGCAGAAAATTCTGCAAATCTGCACATTTATAAAATTTAATGTAATGGAAATTTAGCCTCACATACTTTTACTCGGAGAATATTTTCCGTTTTGATATTGCTAAAAATATTTAATATAGGTCTTAATTTATATTTTTAGACTAAGTTTTATACCTTCCCTCAACAAACTTTTCCAAAAAATAAAAATATATTAAAGAAGTCAAGGTCAAATTTACACAATTTTTTGCCTGAAAATCACATATTTTGACAAATATATCAAAATTAGCATCACTGACCCCACCTTTTTCTTTCATTATTTTAAACTACTCGATACTTGTGACTGATCAGCACTCAAGTCGTAAAAAGTTTGATATAAGAAAAAATTTTATTGCCTATTAAATTTTTCAAGACCCCAGATATGTTATTTTTTAGTGCAAAAAGGTCACTCAATAATTTACGCGCATTAATTTGCAAGATTTGTTTAATGATAAATATTATTCAAACTATTTTACGTAAAATAAGATTACATTTATTGCCATGCTTACATCTAATCAAATATAATAAGGGTTAAAGTAATTAACCAAAGAGATGAAATTTAAGTGTAAAAAGGTCAACTTAAGTGTACCGTAGATCAGTAGGATGCACACTGACCCCCTATTTTCATTGCGATTTTGAGTTACACTTTATGAGTACTTATCCAAAATATACTTCTCAAAAAATCCTTGATATAAGAAATTTCAGGAGTGACTTACCTTAAAAGTACACTTTTATGACAAAATATTGGCATCTCTTAGTCATTTTGTCAAGGGTCATATCATGAATATTTAAATGCTGCAATTCATTGGAAGCTGCTTATAGTGTAGCAGTTAGCTTGTTGGCTGTGAAGTGTAGCGTAGCGGCTAGCTTGTTAGCTGTGTAGCGTAGCGGCTAGCGTGTAATCTGTGTAGTGTAGCGGTTAGCGTGTCAGCTGTGTAGTGTCCTAACTAGCGTGTTAGCTGTGTAGTGTCCTGACTAGCGTGTTAGCTGTGTAGTGTAGTGGCTAGCGTGTTAACTGTGTAATGTACTGGCTAGAGCGTTAGCTGTGTAGTGTCCTGGCTAGCGTGTTAGCTGTGTTATGTAGCTGCTAGAGTGTTAGCTGCGTAGTGTAGCGGCTAGCGTGTAAGCTGTGTAGCGTAGCGGCTAGCGTGTTAGCTGTGTAATGTAGCGGCTAGCGTGTTAGCTGTGTAGTGTAGCGGCTAGCGTGTTAGCTGTGTAGTGTACTGGCTAGGGTGTAAGCTGTGTAGTGTAGCGGCTAGCGTGTAAGCTGTGTAATGAAGCGGGTAGCATGTTAGCTGTGTAGTGTGGTGGCTAGCGTGTTAGCTGTGTAGTGTAGTGGCTAGCGTGTTAGCTGTGTAGTGTACCGGCAAGCGTGTTAGTCACAAAACACTAAACAACATGTTACTCCTGCTTTTATATTGCTAGGATTCATATCTCACGAAACACTATTGTTATTTCGTTTTTAAATCCTAGATATTTAATTCTGAGAAAAAATGTTTCTAATTAATTCATCAGTTTCAATAATGAGAACTTAACATTAAATTCATGGTTCACAAATTTAAATTGTTTTTTTTTTAATTCATGTATCTGAAATCTTAGGCATTATGCTTATATTGTTATTTCATCTTCTTTAACTGAAACAACTAAAATTTTATTTTAAGTCAAGAAATAATTGTAATTTGAATCAAGAAAAATTGTATTTTTACTAATAAGAATTTTATTTTAACTAATAAATATTGTACACTGTATTTTAACTAACAAAAATGCATTTTAGTTCGTACAAATTGTACTTGAACTAAAAGAAAATGTATTTTGATTCTTATTTTTTTTATTTTACAAAACTTGCATTTAGAGTTATTAAAAAATTGTTTTAATTTAGAAAAAAAATATTTTGTTTGTTTATTGTTCGGCGTAAATCTCGGGAATTTTAGAGACGCCATCAGTTGTCAATGGATGAGATGTACTTTTTAGCTCAACTGGTCAGAGACCAGAAGAGCTTATACGATAGTAATGTGTCTGGCGTCCATCCGTCTGTCTGTCTGTCTGTCCGTCTGTCTGTAAACAGTTTTTCAAAACGCTACTCCTCCTACAATTTTAGTCTGATTTCAATTTTACTTGGCACACAAGTAGACTACACTAAGATACATAGAATAGTGCATCAGTTTTTAATTTGGATGAACGGTATTGCCGTGGTTACTAGAAATAGAATTTTCTGTGAAATTCCTTAAAAACGCTACTCCTTCTACAGTTTTGGTCTGATTTCAATATAACTTGGCACACAAGTAGACAACATTAAGATACATAGAATAGTGCATCGGTTTTTGATTTCGACGAACGGTTTTACCATGTGAAATTCCTTTAAAACGCTACTCCTTCTACAGTTTTAGTTTGATGTCAAAATGAGTTGGCACACAAGTAGACTACACAAAGATACATAAAATAGTGCAATGGTTTTGATAAGTACAAACCAGTAGAGCTACAGTCTCGACAGAGACTTCTGGTTTATATACTCAGCAGTAAGGACCATTGACCATTGTCGGCGTTAGCGTCGGCGCCCCGATTCAAGTTTTAGGAGCAGGTCCATTCTCCTAGTAACTATAAGCCCTTCCTGGACCAAATTTGCGTGAATGATGCATCAAGGGATGGACACTTCCAGACTTGCTTCGGATGCTGAATCTGGCCTATATTTTTCAGATGAGTGTCCAGGTTAAAGTTTTTGGAGCAGGTCAATTTCCAATAACTATAAGCCCCACGTGAACCAAACTTGCATGGATGATGCATCTAGGGATGGGCACTACCAGAGTCGCAATGGATGCTGGATCTGACCTATATTTCTAGATGAGTAAACAGGGTAATGTTTTTGGTGCAGGTCTCACTTCCAATTACCTAAGAGCACTTGATTACCTCAGTCTGTTTTTTCGTGTTAGGAACTACTGTGACAC